TCATACTGTAGTATATGTTACTTTAGCCATGATGATACACAGCTAAATGTTGACATAAGCTTTATAGTAGAAGTGTCTTGTGGTCAAGATGTACTGAATGTCATACTGTAGTACATGTTACTGTGTATCATCATGGCTAAAGCTAAATGTTGACATTAGCTTTATAGTAGATGTGTCTTGTGGTCAAGATGTACTGAATGTCATTACTGTGTATCATCCTTGCTAAAGCTAAATGTTGACATTAGCTTTATTGTAGAAGTGTCTTGTGGTCAGGATGTACTGAATGTCATACTGTAGTACATGTTACTGTGTATCATCATGGCTAAAGCTAAATGTTGACATTAGCTTTATAGTAGAAGTGTCTTGTGGTCAGGATGTACTGAATGTTACACTGCAGTACACGTTGCTGTGAACTGTGTCTCTTCTTGGCTAACAGCTGTGTTGTTGACCCTGAATTAATGTGTCTGTAAACATGTAAGTACAACTGGCTTTAAAATAAGTATATTGTACATGTTTTAGACCATGTTTTACTTGAATTTATATGCATATATGTATAATAAACTTATACCATGGACATATAATCAGTTTACTTTGAGAATGGGTATATTCCTAGTTTTGATTACAGTAAATCCTATATTGTACTATAGTAATACTTTATTGAAGAATATAAACAGAATTGTTAACATTTCCAAGAAGAATGATTTTGTTCTAATCTGCATCATGTATATTTGATGCTTCTTCAAGCTGGCAGTTTGCTTCCTGTAATAACCGTTTAAATAAATATATGCACATACTTGCAAGGTTTATTAAAGTTTGTGAATTTGCAAATTTTTTGCCCCAAAACAGAGAATAATGTGTTACACAGCTTCTGATTGGACAGTACTAATGAAGAATACGTTACATTGTTTCTGATTGGATAGTACTAATGAAGAATACTTTACACAGCTTCTGATTGGATAGTACTAATGAATAATGCATTACAGTGATTACACAACTTCTGATTGGATAGTACTGATGAATAATGTGTTACATAACTTCCAATTGGATGATACTAATGTATGATATGTTGACCAACTTCTGACTGAATACTACTACTTTTTCTAGAAGATAAAAAAATTGAAACTTGCCTCAATGCGATATTTTGAAAGAGTGGGCCTAATTTCTCGAGGAACAGGAAGAATAGGCCCTCTATCGGACCTCAAGAGATTTTCTTTCGGCTGAGGAAGCTCTGGAACGTTGCCTTTTTCGTCTGTGTCTGACAGCTGCATTCACCCAGATATTTACACTCGTTATATAAAGCTTGTTTTGTAATTATCATACTTAACGTAGACGACACCACTAGCTTACACTAACTTTATACGACGAATTTTAGGAGAAAACATGTGAGGGTTAATTGCACTCTCTAACAACGATGTTCTTCTATTGTCATTCATGCTCAGTCTGATAGCCATAATCATGCACAATTACTTAATATCGAGATTTTCACTCTAAGACTATTTTGTGAAGGATGTCAAGATTAATCTCAACCAACACATTTTTACAAATTTTTCATTGTGTGGATTAGCCCTATCACCTCGAGTATCTTTTACTACGCATGACACAAAATTTTAGTGTCTTACATTCAAAATTTTATTTATGTACGTGAAAAACTTGTAATATTAACTGAATGACTGCCAAATGTCATGAAGATATACACACTATATTGAGAGTTATAAGTATTAAACCTATAAATGAGTACAAAAAAAGATAACGTGGTCGGCCAAATTGACCCAGCCCGTATTGAGTTAGTTGGCCTTTACGACAATGTTAAAGCATACCAAAACGTATATAGCTCACTTGTAAACCTTCGTCAACTTCAAATAATTATTTAGCGGTTTGTTAAAGGTTCTAAGAAATGTGCCTAATTATATCATAATAGGTTTTTGAGTCAGTAGGTTCTCTTTTGCAACTGTATCATTCACTTTACTTCGACATTTGGCATCCGTTGGCTCTACATCGTCCAACAATCTTACTTTAAGAATATTTCCCTAAGGAAGAAATTTTCTTGACTCCTCAGCCGCATGCTACTCCTGGCAGCATTGCACTGTCGAATGATTGTGAATTCGTCCAGAAATACATTTACATGTGCTACGTATGTATTAGCTTAAACAAATAATTTTATTATTTTAAATTATGAGCATATTTCTATTACGAGAATTATTTTTACTTATATTAGTTATTGATGCTAATATTATTATCTGACACTGGTTGCGAAACGCTGTTCTTTCAACTTCACGTGAAACTACATTTCGGCCATTTATCAGACTCAATACAACATTACTGTACCTCATAAACTAGGTATCTAAGTTTGAGAAATGACTGTTTGAACAACATCCATACATAAAACTTTTATTCATGATTTTAACCAGCATATCTTAACTGGCATAATTCATTTTGAAATGAACAGCACCTTACGAAACAAACATGAGTTGTAGATACATTTTTACTTCAACGTTAAATCGCACAACAATGTTTCAAACAATTCTTGGGCAAAGGGTGCCTTGAGACTACATCAATTTCATAATCATATTAGCAGTTTCTAATTACCTGTAGAAGTTCAAACGTAGCCAAAAGCTCCCCTGCTTGCTCAGATCCCCGATAGATGTCGTGCCATTCCAAGTTCGGTGGAAAATTAGGCTTCACGTAAGGTTCGTCACTAAATTTAACGTGAGGTCTTGTTAATGTCCGGCCAATAAATTCAGATTTTCCCTATAAAATAAGAAATGTAAAAAGAAAAATATCATGTTATCAAACCGGAAAAAGAACATTAAGAAATATACGAAAAATATATAGCACAACTATTTAATTATGTCTCTGCTAACATTTTATGACACTGGAAAATCTAAATAATAAACATAAGAATACAAGTGAAGAATATGTAATTATATATCTGAAATGTTATTAAACTGAAATACCAAAACACTTAATATCGGAAGTTAAAACAAAATAACAAATCTGATTCAACACATCTACTTTTTTGTTAAACTATGAACCTGGAACAATAAACATAATTTATATAAAACCGATATGATGTGATTTCACGAAAAATAGAATTAGTTTGGAAACTAATTTTAATTCAGTTAGTTAGCACCTTAATTCCTAGATTACAGAAATACGCTGTTAAATATTGATACACCACTCAATGTCCATAATATCATTACGTATTATGAATGTTCTTGATTAAATAACGAAATTACTACATATTAGAGAAATACACGGGGAAATATAAATTAATATTAAACAAATGCACGGGGAAATATAAATTAATATTAGAGAAATACACGCGGAAATATAAATTGATATTACAAAAATACACAGGGAAATGTAAATTAATATTAGAGAAATACACGGGGAAATATAAATTAATATTAGAGAAATACACGGGGAAATATAAATTAATATTAGAGAAATACACGGGGAAATATAAATCAATATTAGAGAAATATACAGGGATATATATAAGTTGATTTTATAAGTTATTTTCTCTCTTATTAGATTCACATTATTCAAATATAGTAAGACGATCAATACTACGTCAGTTAGTCTAAAAGTACTTATATTTCAGTATTTATCTAATTAATTACAACATACCTTCCCCATTTCACATGCTGAGTTCGACTTTATATACAAGACAGAAAGAATTTCTCATATCATAATAAGATAAAGAACACAGATAGAGGATCTATATTTCAATGTTAGTTTTGGTGGATTATAATCATAATACGATATTTAAGACACAAACGGATCTATACTTGAAGATTAATCTTGATGATGATATTAAAAGCATCGTTTTATTTTCAGCATAATTGTTCTGCTAACATAACCTTTCGTACCTGATACGTGCATAATTGTTCTGCTAACATAACCTTTCGTACCTGTTACGTGCATAATTGTTCTGCTAACATAACCTTTCGTACCTGATACGTGCATAATTGTTCTGCTAACATAACCTTTCATACCTGTTACGTATAATCTAACTTTCGAATCAGTAATTTCATATTTAGCGAAGGATACATTAAAGTCTTTACCACTTTGTCTTGATCAAAAACTTCGACAATAATCACTGGAGGATCTTCTTTAATATCCTCTTTACTTCCATAAACAACAACTTCTGGAAAAACCAGCATTTCATCCCACGTGGGACTTAATGTCTCATCAATGACCTTAAGGAAAAATACAAAGATCCAACTAAACCAAAAATATTAACAATATTAAAAATACACTTTAACAACCACTGAAATGAGATTAAAAACATAAAATAACAACCAATGAAACAAGATTAAAAACACACTTTAATACCTATTGAAACAAGATTAAAAACACTTTAATAACTACTAAAATAACAATGGGAACACACAGTAGCAACCAATGAAACAACAATAGGAACACACACATTAGCAACAAATGAAACAACAATAGGAACACACACATTAGCAACAAATGAAACAACAATAGGAACACGCATTAACAATTCAAGATATTTTACAAGAAGATAACAACGACACCTAGATCATATATATATATATATATATATTAGATGCCAGACCTTCATTTAGTGTAATCCAAGATATTGTATAAGAAGACAACAACGACACCTATATCATATATATATATATTAGATGCCAGACCTTGATTTTGTGTGATCCAAGATATTTTATAAAAAGATAACAACGACACCTAGATCGTATATATATTAGACAATATTACGCCAGTTAAAAAAATCACAATACATTTAATCCTAGTCCTTCATCAAACATTATTATTTTATTTTCCTTTTAATATATCGGTAGCTTCACGAAACTTCGTCGTTTGAGGTTGTTTAGCTTTGCAATAGATTTTAGCACCAGTCCAATAATAATACAAGTGTGGAATAATGTCATCCCATTTTGGTCGTTAATATGTCTTGCTACTGTTGTTTCATTGGTTGTTAATGTGTTTCAACTCTTGATTCATTGGTCGTTAATATGTCTTGCTACTGTTGTTTCATTGGTTGTTAATGTGTTTCAACTCTTGATTCATTGGTCGTTAATATGTCTTGCTATTGTTGTTTCATTGGTTGTTAATGTGTTTCAACTCTTGGTTCATTGGTCGTTAATATGTCTTGCTACTGTTGTTTCATTGGTTGTTAATGCGTGTTCCTATTGTTGTTTCATTTGTTGCTAATGTGTGATCATATATATTAGATGCCAGACCTTGATTTAGTGTAACTAGGTGTCGTTGTTGTCTTCTTATAAAATATCTTGGATTACACTAAATCAAGGTCTGGCATCTAATATATATATAATCTAGGTGTCGTTGTTGTCTTATAAAATATCTTGGATTACACTAAATCAAGGTCTGGCATCTAATATATATATGATCTAGGTGTCGTTGTTGTCTTCTTATAAAATATCTTGGATAACACTAAATCAAGGTCTGGCATCTAATATATATATATATGATCTAGGTGTCGTTGTTGTCTTCTTATAAAATATCTTGGATAACACTAAATCAAGGTCTGGCATCTAATATATATATATATATGATCTAGGTGTCGTTGTTGTCTTCTTATAAAATATCTTGGATTACACTAAATCAAGGTCTGGCATCTAATATATATGATCAATGTCGTTGTTGTCTTCTTATAAAATATCTTGGATTACACTAAATCAAGGTCTGGCATCTAATATATATATATATATACGATCTAGGTGTCGTTGTTGTCTTCTTATAAAATATCTTGGATTACACAAAATCAAGGTCTGGCATTGCCTGGTGGTTAGGGCACTCGACTCGCAACCTGCAGGTCGTGATATCGAATTCCGTCACCGAACCTGTTCGCCCTGTCAGCTGTTATAATGTGTCAGTCAATCCCACTCTTCGTTGGTAAAAAGAGGTGTAACAGTTGGCGACGGATGGTATTGACTATCTGCATTCCCTCTAATCTATCATTTCAAAATTAAGTAATGCTAGTGCAGATAACCCTCGAGTAGCTTTATGCAACAAACAAACACTAAATTGACACATCTGATGACTTGATGTTTTGAATTATGTTGTCTCTTTTTTATTAATTTTAACGTGGTATTATAATAATAAGTTAAAAACAGTCCAAAAAACATCAAAATCAACAAAATACGTGTATTAAACCCTGTAACATAATTTTCATTTAAACATAAGAAAACCAAAGTGTCTAATTTATGAAGATCGAAAAGAAATTGTATAGTACCAAAAACAGAATGGAACTATTACAATAAATTATTTCCTGAAAGACCAAGAATGTAAAGGGTTGACAAGAATGGAACTATAACAATAAATTATTTCCTGAAAGACCAAGAATGTAAAGGGTTAACAAGAATGGAACTATAACAATAGATTATTTCCTGAAAGACCAAGAATGTAAAGGGTTAACAAGAATGGAACTATTACAATAAATTATTTCCTGAAAGACCAAGAATGTAAAGGGTTAACAGAACGGAACTATTACAATAAATTATTTCCTGAAAGACCAAGAATGTTAAGTGTTAACAAAATGGAACTATTACAATAAATTATTTCCTGAAAGACCAAGAATGTAAAGGGTTAACAGAATGGAACAATAACAATAAATTATTTCCTGAAAGACCAAGAATGTAAAGGGTTAACAGAACGGAACTATTACAATAAATTATTTCCTGAAAGACCAAGAATGTAAAGGGTTGACAAGAATGGAACTATAACAATAAATTATTTCCTGAAAGACCAAGAATGTAAATGGTTAACAGAATGGATCTATAACAATAAATTATTTCCTGAAAGATCCGGAATGTATAGGGTTAAAGAATAATAATCATGTATTTGTTTTGTGGTTTTTTGAATTCTGTACTTTTCGTTTCATTCATATCTTTAAAAGTCTAGATCAACCGATAGCTTCATAAAAACATATTTTATTGAATTAGGATTAAGTGTTTCATTACTTACAAATTAGTTATTACATTCGTTTACAACTGACCTGGGTGGTCTGACTCTGTTCGCCGAAGATGACACGAGCAAATGGATCCGAGAGGCCAGAAGTATCTGAGCCAATCAGCGATCGTGCTTGATACATATAAGCCCTTAGTTCGAAACTCTGCTTTTCTGGAAAACAAAGTAACAAAACACAAAATTTCCTGTAATCCAAAAGTCCTATAATGGTTAAAATTAACCACGTGGTTAAAATATATATTTAAAATAATCTAAACCTACTTGTACTACAGATCTGCTTAATTTCTTATTATTTATTAATACATATGATAATAATTATTGTTCGAAGTCTAATATTTAGCTACTTTCAAGCATTTTTTACATAAGTCGTATATTCATGTTCATAAGTTATGTTATTAAAATTATTAAATTTGTTATTTTTATTGAAAATGTTTATGTAGAAAATACTCTTAATCTACTGATTCGTTTAAAAATCAGTAACAAATATTCTTAATAGTTATAAACATGATACAAGTAAAATACAAGTGGAAGTGAGCTGGGAATTAGGGTGAATTGAAAATATATTTACCCTCAAAATAAGACAAGATAAATGTAAAATGTGAAGTATCAACTTTATCCTAGAAGCAAGCTGAGATATGTGTAAAATGTCAACTTTTTGCTAGAAGTAAACTGGGATAAGTGTAAATTGTCAACTTTACCCTAGAAGTAAGCTGGGGATTAGCATGAAGTGTTAACTTTACCCTAGAAGTATGCTGGGGATTAGCATGAAGTGTCAACTTTACCCTAGAAGTATGCTGGGG